AGGCAAGTTTGGCCTGGGAGTACAAAATGAAGTAAAGCAAAGGCTAACAGAGTTTTGCCAAGAGAACACACTGGTCATAGCAAATACTCTCTTCCAACAACACAAGAGANTCACACTCACTTAGAGCCAGGCATCCTGGAATGTGAAGTCAAATGGGCCTTACAAAGCATCACTACAAACAAAGCTAGGAGGTGATGGAATTCCAGTTGAGCTATTTCAAATCCTAAAAGATGATGCTGTGAAGGTGCTGCACTCAATATGTCAGCAAATTTGGAAAACTCAGCAGTGGCCACAGGACTGGAAAAAGGTCAGTTTTTATTCCAATCCCAAAGAAAGGCAATGCCAAACAACATCCATACTACCATACAATTTTACTCATTTCACATACTAGCAAGGTAATGCTCAAAGTCCTTCAAGGGCTAGGCTTCAACAGTATGTGAACTGAGAAATTCCAGATGCACAAGCTGGATTTAGAAGAAGCAAAGGAACCAGAGATTAAATTGTCAACACCTGTTAGATCATAGAAAAAGCAAGAGGATTTCAGAAAAACATCTACTTCTGCTTCATTGACTATGATAAAGCCTTCAATTATGTGGATCACAACAAACTATGAAACATTCTTAAAGAGATAGAATACCAGACCATTTTACCTCTTTCCTGAGAAACCTGTATGCAGGTCAAGAAGTAACAGTCAGAACCGGACATGGAACAACACACTGTTTCCAAATTGGGAAAGGGGTACCTGAAGGCTGTATACTGTCACCCTGCTTATTTAACTTATATGCAGAGTACATCATGAGGAATGCTGGGCTGGAGGAAGCTCAAGCTGGAATCAAGATTGCCAGGAGAAATATTAATAACCTCAGATATGCAGATGACACTACCCTTCTGGCAGAAAGGAAAGAAGAACAAAAGAGTTCTTGATGTAAGTGAAAGAGGAGAGTGAAAAAGCTGGCTTAAAGCTCAACATTAAAAAAACTAAGATCATGGCATCCAGTCCCATCACCTCATGGCAAATAGATGGGGAAACAACGGCAACCGTGACAGATTTTATTTTTGTGGGCTCCAAAATCACTGTGGATGGTGACTGCAGCCATGAAATTAAAAGACAATTGCTCCTTGGAAGGAAATCTATGACAAACCTAGACACCGTATTAAAAATCAGAGACATTACTTTGCCAGTAAAGGTCCATATAGTCAAAGCTATAGATTTGCCAGTAGTCATGTATGGATGTGATAGCTGGACCATAAAGAAGGCTGAGCACTGAAAAATTGATGCTTTCAAACTGTGTTAGAGAAGACTCTTTAAGAGTCCCTTTGATCAAACCAGTCAATCATAAAGGAAATCAGTCCTGAACATTCACTGGAAGGAATGATGCTGACGTTGAAACTCCAATACTTGGGCCACCTGATGTGACGAGCCGACTCATTAGAAAAGACCCTGATGCTGGGAAAGATTGAGGGCAAGAGGAAAAGTGGCTGACAGAGGACAAGATGGTTGGATGGCATCACTAACTCAATGGACATGAGTTTGAGCAAACTACAGGATATGGTGAAGGACAGGGAAACCTGGAGTGCTGCAGGCCATGGGGTTGCAAAGAGTCAGACACAACTGAGTAACAACAACAGGGAACTAGATCTCACATGTGGTGACTAAGAGTTCACATGCTGCAGCTAAAGATCCCTCAAGCCGCAACTAAGAGCCGGCACAGCCAGATAAGTAAAGAAAAATTAAAAGACCCTTTAAAAAATGACGGAGAGGAGGGGTTATAGTGGGTATACAGTATCCTAAATCCTCAGAATCCCTGGCTGGGAACTTCCTTCCAACTTCCCTACCACTCCCAGTCCCAAGCCTCTAGCATGCTTCGGGACTGCTAGGTACCTGGTTTGAGGACTGTATTCTTACAAAGTAAGCCAGCCAGCTAGGAAAAGCAGCTTTCACTTCCCCCATGGGGCTGTATCAGTGTGAAAGATGCCCTCAAGGCATTCAGGAGCTCCTATTACTTTCCAGTGAGAAAAAGAACTGAAGACAGGAATTACCTGGAGGAGTTAATTTAAAAGATGTGGTTTTACTTTGGTTGGTCTCTTAGAAGCGGAATGCTTCTTATTATACCAAGACCTTTCCATAAAACACTCACTTTTTAAAATGTATTATGCTTTTTTAAAAAAATTTTGTTTAAAAACACATTTAAAAAAAAAAAACATTTTAAAAAGTGGTAGTGAGGGAGGCATCTGTGAGTGAAGATAACTTTTTTTTCCCCCAGGGGTGGGCTCTACATAGTAAATATAAAGATTGGTGGAAAGACATGACTCAGTTTCAGAAACTATACACATACACATTTTGGACTTGATGAAATTTCACAAATGAAACCATGAAATATCATAATAAGGACTGTACTGATGGGGCTTCCCTGCTGATCCAGTGGTTAAGAATCTGCCTTGCATGGGGTGGAGAGGGAGGTGGGAGGGGGGACCGGGATGGGGAATGCATGTAAATCCATGGCTAATTCATTTCAATGTATGACAAAAACCACTGCAATGTTGTAAAGTAATTAGCCTCCAACTAATAAAAATAAATGGTAATTCATTTCAATGTATGACAAAAACCACTGCAATGTTGTAAAGTAATTAGCCTCCAACAAATAAAAATAAATGGAAGAAAAAAAAAAAAAAGAATCTGCCTTGCAGTGCAAGAGATACAGGTTCGGTCCCTGGTCCCTGAAGATCCCACATACCTCAGAGCAACTAAGCTCATATGCCACAACTACTGAGCCTGTGCTCTAGAGGCGAGCGCATCAGCTACTGAAGCCCCTGCGCCCTAGGGCAGGTGCTCCACAAGAGAGGCCATTGCAATGAAAAGCCTGTATATGCAAGGAAGAGTAGCCCCCGCTTGCGGAAACTAGAGAAAGCCCACGCAACAAATAAGACCCAGCACAGCCAAAAATAAATAAATAAATCTTTAAAAAAAAAAAAGGAGTGTGTGGAAGACAACAGCTCATGATCTCACCCGCTGCAGTTATATGTACACCTGCTACTCAGAATACAGATACATTTCAGTTCCCGCTTGAATAAGGAACAGAAGTCTCTCTCCGACAGGAGTCCGTAATCCATAGTTAAAAATGTATGTCTGTTAGCTAATGTGCAAAAATCAAAATCCAGCGCTTTTGGATGTGCAAAATTGAATCTATGCTGTTTTAAAGTTATTTTATGACTTACAGTTTTTAAAAACTGGTTTTATACTTTAAATTGGAAAAGGGACGCGTATTTCCCTATTTTCAAAAGATGAGAGTGATTCTCTTATTTTTTTCCCACGAAGTAAACTACTTCAGCAAAATGGTACACCGTGTGCTATTCTGGCCTCTTGGGAAACATGACATATTCAAGTTTGCTAGAAAGAGATTAATGATCGCTTTCAGCCATACATCTCACTGTGACTTCTTCGGGATATTTATTGGTCTGAAGAGAAAATGGCGGCGGGGGGTGGGGGTAAGAGAAATTTGTTTAGGATCAGAAATGGGCAATGGATGACTTAAGGTTAACTGTAGAACCACTGGCTTCCAACTGTGTTTTTCTGTCATCTACACTTTTCCCACATAAGAGATTTCACAACAATAAATTTACAAAACAGTCCCGTAATGCAGTTTTAAATTATTAAATCAAGAGAAGGCGGTATGTAAAAAGCATGAGCTACACCTCTAGAGCCAATTTGTCAGAAACGAACAACAACCTTAAAATCACTGCTCTCTGAATGTTCGTTCTTGCCATCTATTTTGACGCAAATAGAAACAGAACAGCATTTTTAGATCCGGCATTTCTGTGTGGTGCAGACATGCCGGCTTCTATGAATTTTCTCACCTCTGGGAAATGTACTTCTGAACCGTGTAACTGTTGTGCAACTAGCCAAGTGGATCTATGACGCAACAGTCCGCTGCAAGTTGCCTTGAAAACAATGATGTCATTTGGCGCAGACGTAGTCACGTTTATAACACAGGTAGACACCGCAAAGCACCCTCCATATCATCCCTGACTCCCCCACCCCCACCGGGTGCAAGATGCAAAAAGGCATTTTCCGGGTTTCCTAACCCTCAACTTGTGGACGGTGGACGCACCACAGTGGCTGGAGCCCACCGCTCGTGCAAGTGAAGTGAGACCGCGGCGAGGTTAGTGGGACACTGCAGAGAGTTCGCAGCCCCGACGGCGAAGCCGCACGGGAAGCCGCGTTGGGCCGGGCCCACGGCCTCAGCGCCGAGGGCTTTATTCCCTCAGTGAGGTCCGCTGGCGTGGCGGGTAGGACGTGGGGCCCCGCGGGCGTGGGACAGCCCTGCCCCCATCCCGCTCCCACACCCGCTCCCGCTCCCGCGGCGCCGGAAGTGACGCGCACTGGCTGAAAGATGGCGGCACTGGCGCTCGACCAGGGGGAAGGTAAACACCCTCCAGGCCGCTGCCCGCGCGCGGGCCCCCTCGAGGCGCCGGCGGGGGCCGAGGGTGCCTCCCGGGCCCGCGTTCCAACTGTCGGCTCCCCACCCTTCCACCGCCCTACCCGCGTGGCAGGCTTCCGCGTTGTACGACGGCGCAAGGGGCCCCCTGCCGGCGGGACCCGCCTCCCTGGGCGGGCCCCGGGCGGCTCCCGCGGCCCACAGGGGGCGCGCGGCCCGGAGCGGCCCCTGGCTCGTGGCCCCGCAAGCTCCGCCCTTTTCCCGCCCCTTTCCCGCCTTCCTCCACCCCCGGCGTGGGTGATCCTGAGGCTCCGCGCGCTCTGGGGCAGAAGCCCGGAGACGCCGTCATCGACGACTTGACCGCCGGTGGTTCTGCTAACCGCGGCCCCCCAACCCCTCTCTCCGCCCGAGGCCCCGCGTCGGCCCTCCCGCCGAACCCCGCCAGGCGCTGCGAAGCCCCTGGCCTTGGCAAGGCCGGCCCCGGCCCCGACGCCGCTCCGCCTCGCCCGACTGTCTCGAATCTCTCCTCAGTGCTGTCTTCTTTCCCAGGACTGGTTTCGTGGGGGCCGCAGGCGCGCAGTCTCGCCCCCCGCCAGAGCGCCCCGGCTCGGCCCTGGAGCGGCTTCTTGTAGACGTTCGAGGAGCCTGCCGAGTGCCGTCCCGGCGCCCGACCGCCCACCGTCCGGCCCGTTGGCCCGCTTCTTCCTGATGCAGACTGCCGTCCACTAGAGGCTGGACAGACCCCCGAGGTGCGTAGCCGCCCCTGGCCCTCCGGCCTGCGGGAGCCCGGGCTTCGTCCGCGGCTCCGCGCTAGGCTCGGATTCGGTAGCCCCTCTGCACTGACCCCAGTCGCACATTTGGTTGACGCCGGGATCTAATTTGTCTTTGAGTTTACTTAGATTGTTTGAAATCTTATTTTTTTTTCCCAAGGAGAAAAAAAAAAAAAGGAAGAAGCATAATTCAGCCATTTTTTGCAGCACACAGCTGCAGGTACCATGATTATTTTCTCCCTATCCTGCTCCTTCCCTTTAAAAATGCTATTTTTGCCTGAAATAGAACTATGCGAAATGCGAGGCATAAAACGTGGAATCAGAAGGTCTGGGTTCGACTAGGTGACTCTGAGAAAATCGCTTACCGAACCTCGGTTTCTTATCTATGAAATCGAGTCGGTAATAGCCACATCACAGGGTAGTGAGGACTGTATGAGGTCATATATGTGAAAATAATCCGTAGCTGTAAAGTGTTGTAAAAATGCAAGGCAATTTTTAAAGTAACCTTTGCCAGAGTGGTGAATGTTGTAGTGGCTAACTGTTGCTGCCTCTTTTTTCCTATATTATAAGTATAAGCGATAAGGACGGAAATTAGTAAAGCACTGCTCTGAATCGATTAGATATAGTCACGTTGCTTGGCCTTCTTCCTCCGAAATGCTAACTGCTTATTTAAATAACGGTATTCTTTAATTCAAATTTAACGTTTCTGAGGTGCTTTGCTTTTCATTTTTCTAGGCCGCTTATGCCCTTTTGCTTACTCGGAATATTAAACACCTTGCATTTGTTGAGTCTTTTCTATTTTTCGAATTTACATTTTTCTTTTCAAGATTAATATCTTGATAAAATTGTCATTTGGAAAATGCTGTTAAGATATATACCTTAATTTTTATTGCTTATTTTTCATATCTAGGAAACAAGATGCCTGAATATCTACTAATTTGAAAATTGTTTTTGGAAGAGCTTATACATGCATTCGGGTTTCTGTAACTAATAGATCTAGAAATGTATAGAAAAATCTCAGCTTTTTGACACTTAATGTAGTGTTTATGTAATTTAATTCTCTTTTTATTCATCACCACACTTAGTTGGTGCTTAGAATCAGTTTTTCTATGGTGAGGGATGTTAATTTGCACTTTTTATTGCTGATTAGCTTGGGGGGGATAATGAAATACATAAGCCATAAATACTTGTGGGTTGAAAATCGGAATTTTTTATCAAAATTTATAATATATATGTGTAACAGTATGGGATCATTCTTATTTGACACATTAAAAATATATGGTCTGGTTTTTTAAAATGGGTCATAAAAAGTGAAAGAGAAGCTTTTTAAAATATATAGTTAGTTTTAGTTAATAAATGGGTTTTCTGAGTTTTTTTCCTGAAATGTTTTATTAAATTTATATTCCATACCGATTGTCTTTCTGAATATGCTTTTGTTTTTTTAAAAAAGGCAGAATAATATAAGGCGGCAGGATTAAATTAGCAAAAGGAAGAGCCTACTTTAATGTGCTAGCTTTTATACGTTGGACTTACTGTTTGTCCTGAAGATAAAATTTTGACAAATCATTGCTTTATTGGGAATTTCAAAGTTTGGCCATCTCTTTGCCTTGATCTGGGTTACCTGGGGCTAAAATTTTGGAACCAGGACTGGTGTGGCTTCATAGTTGTCCAGAAGAACCCCAAACTTGGTTTAATAATCAGTGCGTAAAACTGGTATTGTACAGTATAAAGGTGAACAGTAAAATTCATGATAATAATGTAAATTTCTGATTTATCTTTGCTTAGAATGCATTAAACAGCAAATTAAAAGAACACCATGATATGTTGAGAGAGACCTCAGAAGAAAGGAGAAAGCTTTATACTTTAGTACTTTTTTAAAAACTACTTTAGTACCTTTAATGACACTTTTTTCCAGCTTTTGTACAAGGGGTCCTGCATTTTCATTTTGCCTTGGGCTCCCCAAATTATGTAGCAAGTCAGTTGTCAAATTTGCCTTTTCCTATTTTAAATGTTTTGAGAGTGAAAAACGTAAACTGTGAGGAGAATGAATCTGTAGCTTAGGAGGGGTTGGATTAATTTATTAGAATATGTTCCCTTTGAATTGGAATGCTGTAGTCCGTGTGGGCTTCCCTGATAGCTCAGTTGATAAAGAATTCGCCTGCAATGCAGGAGACCCCAGTTCGATTCCTGGGGGGGGCGGGGAAGATCCGCTGGAGAAGGGATAGGCTACCCCGTTCCAGTGTTCTTGGGCTTCCATTGTGGCTCAGCTGGTAAAGAATCCTTCTGCAATGCGGAAGACTTGGGTACAATTCCTGGGTTTGGAAAATCCCCTGGAGAAGGGAAAGGCTACCCACTCCAGTATTCTGGCCTGGAGAATTCAGTCCATGGGGTCGCAGAGAGTCGGATGCAAGTGATCGACTTTCAGTTTCAGCCCGTGTGGACTTCCCGCCCCCCCTAATTTTTAAAAAATTTTGGTCATGCCACACTGCATGTGGAATCTTAGTTCTCAGACCAGGGATCGAACCTGCACCCCCTGCATTGGAAGCGCGGAGTCTTAACCAGTGCGCCTCCAGGGAAGTCCTGATGTAGTGTTTTTTGTTGTTGTTGTTTTTTACTGAAGCGACATGAAAGGCAGTTATTGGTGAAAGATTGCAGGATAGTGGTTAAACTCCAAGGCTTTGAAGTCAGACTGGCCCCATCTTATTAGGTATCATAGCCTCGGGCAAGTTACTTAACCCCCATGAGTTTTGATTTTTCTCATCTCTAAATCAGGGATGGTTACAGAACATGGAGGGTTGTGAGAGTTAAACTTATCTATTCATCCTACAAGTATTTATTAAGCACTTCTTATGTGCCAAGCAGCGTTCCTAGAAAGGTTCTGGGAATACAACAGTGAATACAAAACAAAGAAAAGAAATAACAAAAATAAACTGAATAAGAAATATAGCCTGTATCTCATTTAGTATACTGTGTAGAAAAACAGAAAAGGAAAGGGAAGATTTTCTGTTGCATAGGGTGGGTGGGTGGTTTTCTCTTTTAAAGAGGGGTTGCAGGGAGATGCCTCACCAAGATAAAACACTGGAGTAAAGACTTAAAGGGAGCCATATATGTTGGGATTAGTGATCCAGTCAGAGGGAACGCCAATTTTAGGGGCTTTAAGGTGGGTGTGTGACTGGTTTTCAAGCAGCAGCAAAGAGGCTGGTGTGTCTGGGGCAGGAATTAGGAGATAATTATTATTTATTACTGCTGTTACAGGAGTCACTGGAGAAACTCTGATAGTTCATCTTGGCCATGTGTGTGTGTGTATACACATATACACACACATACATACATACTGCTGCTGGTCTGAAAGTGGGAGGCCTTTTCAGAATTAAAAATTTTAACTTTGGAATAAAGAAACTAGAAAAGGCAAGATATTTCCGCAGACTTTCTGTTTTTAATATAAGCCCTTTAAAATTCATCTGGCTGAATCATTGAAGCAGATAGAAACGAATAGAAGATTTATTCTTTGTCTCTGATAAGATCATTGAATTTAGTTAATGATTCTGCATCACTTTAAAAGATTTACAGGAAATCCGTATCATAACATCAAGACCTTCTAGAAGGTTCAGTTTAGTTGTTTACTTCTTGTGTAAAACTAGGATGTTAACATTATAATATTGATGATTTCATGTTAGAAAGTAACTTAGAAGATTTGGGGTTTTATTCCCCAGTAGAGGCTTTTCCTAGAATTCTCACTGGATCCAATCTCTAAAGGCTAGGGAAGCTGTTTTCCATGACATCACTCTTGGACTTCTTTTACTTGTGAGGAATAAGCAGAGGAGCATTAAATTAAAATCTTCTGATGAAAAAATAGCATTGAAACAGGAGTGGTTTTTTTTTCTCATAAGGGTTCTTTTTATTATAGGATGACTAGATGCTAAACATACCTGAAAAATGAAGTAATTTAGATAAAAGATGCCAGCTTGGAGGCTGGAGGACCCAGAGCCTCCCTAAAAGCTTAGTTAAATGGTCACTGGCCGTTTGGTACTGAGTTACAAAATCATTTTGATGGACAAGAAAGAATTTCCAGCACTAAACAAATGTGTTAACTTACACAGCCTTTTCTCTAATATTAGACTTAATTGTTTCTCAATTTGAGCAGTATATCTCAGGGTAAAAGGGCTGCAAATAGAGCTGATAAAGTTGGTCTGTTTTTGAATTTTTCTTTCTTTTTAGATTAAGTTGGTCACTTTGAGGTTGTTGAATAAAAGATTTTTACTTTATAGATTAAAGAAATTGTGAGGAATTTTATGACTCAGAAATTAATTCTATTTTTATCTGTAGTAAGCTTTGCATTTTCTTTTTAGTATGCAAGTATGGCATTTTCTACATAGGGTTTAACACTGGTAGGCTAACAGTTTGAGGATGAAGGTAATATGAAATAATTTCAAATTTTCACTGAAGATATGTATATCAACCTCTGAGAATCTAGCTTTGGTATTGAATAAATTAGGGATTTGTATGAATTTTCAAGCAGCTGTGGGGATAGTGTGAAAGCATTAAATTATTGCTTATGGCATAAACATGAAGGTTAGTTAATTTTGAAACATCTCTACTTGCCTAGAATTTTGCCTTCCAATCAGAATGACAGCCTTCTAGCTGAAAAGGAAGCATTTAATTTCTTTGCCTTTTATTTCCTGTCTAGTTTTACCCCCACCAGACTTGCTTTACTCGTCACTAGAGAGTTTGAACTGTTAGAAATTTCTGTGGTATAAATAGCAGTAATGGTCTTTCAGAGCAGAGGTAGGAAGAGGTTGCTTTGTGTGTGTATGTGGTCATTTATCTCTTGTACAGTCAGTGGTACTTAATTTTTTGGTCTTAGAACGTCATTATATTCTTAAAATTTATTGGAATCTCAAAGAGCTTTTGTTTATGTGAGTTGTATCTATTTATACTGAGCATTTTAGAAATTAAAACTGGGAAGTTTAAAAAAATAC